GAAACGCCTGCAGACAAGTGAAAGGCGAAAGTTGCACAAGTAACTTCCACTTCTCCTGCCTTTGCCGCAATAAATTGCCGCAAAGCCAAACGCCCGCCAATCGCCGCTGGCACCAACACCAGATCCGTTCCGCAACAAAACGCCACCCGAAATCCATGTATATGAACCTTTTTCATCCCGAAAAATAAGCCAAGAACACCTCAGGTCAGAGCCGCCTCCCGCCTGTCAAACCAAAGTCCCAAATGAGACCCTTAACCATGCCGGATCCATGCGCGCATCGTTCAAAACATTTTGAGTTGAGAAAGAGAAATCCCCACTGGGCGTTTGCTATGTGCGTGGGAAGATGAAGATTGTGGTAAAGTCGGTTTAGGGAGAGAAGAATGAGTAACAGGGTGAAATGACTAGAGGCGAACCCTAGAGACGGCGGCGCAACCGCACAGGACAGGACAGGATTCAAGGCCCAAGCGCCGACCTGCCGAAGGCTTGCCCGTTTCCTGCCGCAAATCTACCGGTTCCGACGCCAATATAAATGCCCTGAAGAAAACCGAATATATCATCATCGCAAAGGTTCTGAAGAAAACACGAGATTCGATAATTGAATAAAGGGTAGAAGGCCGAGAAAATTAGAAGGTATGATACAACCGGTGCTTGTTGATATGATACGAAGAAGCTGACCGCAGAGCCCAGACCAAGCGGCGGTGGTAGAACAACGTCGACTGGTAAAGCAGACGATGATGGGCGGCCCAAGCACACAGGCGAGTCGTACTTATCGGAACGAAATTGGCGTGAATGAGGGAGTCGAAAGGCAACACAAAATATGTACAATCCAGAACAGAAGACACAAGAAAACGTAAGCTCATACTCGTGGCGTGAAATCACCCCCACCCTTCAACATATCGAGTGAATTGGGTGATTGGGTGCCTACTGGGAAGGCTGAGGTTGGTGGATCTGGCCTTGACCTTGTCCGCGACCGCCACGCTGGCCGCCAAAGTTTTGACGTCCTCCCTGATTTTGGGGTTGACCGCCGTAGCCGCGTCCCCCGCGACCTCCTCTATGACCGCCGGAGGGACCACCACGATTGCCTTGGTACACACCACGGCCTGGTTGGGTGGAGTTAGCAGCACCACTCTGCCGGGAATTCTGTTCCTGCCAGTTCCCAGAGTTGGAACCAGCACCACCTTGACGGGAACTCTGCTCCTGCCAGTTTCCTGAACTGAGGCCAGGGCCCCTAGGTTGCTGTTGGGCGGATATTTGTGATGATTGACCCTGCGCAGGCGCTTGTGGCTGCTGCTGGATAGCGGTTCTGAAATTGGAAACGGGACGAGGAATGGTCTCAGGATTCTCATAGACATAGAGACTCTTGTCAATAGTGTGAGGAATCGGCTGGATCTCGGTGCCTAGATCACGCTCAATATTGTAGAGGTTGAAGCGATCCTCCCAGCTGATCAGGTTAATAGCCAGACCGAGATGTCCATATCGACCAGAACGACCAATACGATGAAGATAGGTCTCCGCGTTCTTGGGGAAGTCAAAGTTGATGACAACGTTGACAGCCTGAATATCGATACCACGGGTCAAAAGATCAGAGCAGACCAGGTTACGGCATACGCCGTTGCGGAAATCGTGGAAGACACGGTTTCTTGCCTGCTGAGCCATCTTGGCGTGACTGTAGAAGCACGAGTAGCCAAGCTCGGTGATCTTTTTGGCGAGAAGCTCCACACGGTTTGTCGAGTTGCAGAAAATGATGGACTGGTTGATCTGGAGCTTGGAAAAGAGCGTGTTCAAGCAATGAACCTTTTGCTTCTCCTCAACGTAGGCGTAGTACTGGGTGATACCGCGAAGAGTGAGCTCATCCATGAGGTTGATTTCGTAAGGGTTGACCATGTTTTTGTCCGAGAAGTCCTTGACCGAGAGAGGGAAAGTTGCCGAGAAGAGCATGACCTGGCGGTCCTTGGGGTGGAAGCGGAGAAGCTGTTCAATAACAGGGGTGAACTCGATCGAAAGAAGCTTGTCTGCCTCATCCATGATGAACATGGGGCATTCGCTGAGATCCGCAACCTGCTTTCCGGCCAAATCGAGAATTCTTCCAGGGGTACCCACCACAATATGAACGGGATCCTGCAACCGGACAATATCATCTCGAAGACCAGTTCCGCCCGTGGTGACCATGACGTTGATACCAAGATGCTTGCCGAGAGTTTTGCAGACCTGAGACGTTTGCATGGCCAACTCTCGGGTTGGAACAAGAATTAGGCACTGAATCTTGGAAACTTTGGGGTTGATCTTTTCGAGGGCGGGGATAACGAAAGCAGCTGTCTTGCCGGTACCATTTTTGGCGCGTGCTAGGATATCACGGCCAGTAAGGGCTACTGGTATGCTTTCTTCTTGAATCGGTGAAGGTTTTTCGAAACCGGCTTCGAAAATGCCCATGAGCAAGTCTCGCCGAAGTCCAAACTCTTCAAACTCGAGTCCTTTGGTATTCGTCACGTCCTGCAGGTAGAATATGTCAACATTTACTACTACAGGTTATAAAGATTGCAGGCAAAGGGAAGATGACTGACTTCTGTCTGATGCCTCGTGTCCCTGGCAGGAAGGTTGAGTTTCGACTTCCATTCTTCTGAGCTCCCATTATCACTATTTTGTTAGCGGGGTCTAAGCTAACCAGTATTGGGGTAACCAACTTTAAGGATGCTCCCTTGAACTTGTCCACGAGACTGTCAGTCATTTTGGCGGTGAATGTGGTATGAAGTGAAAAATAAAAGTTTGCGGTAACTGGCTGATCGTACTGTCGAGTGAGACGTGGAGGTCAGGTCGACAAGGGTATGAGGCGCAAAAGACTAATCGTTGGAAAATGCGCACGCTAATCGATGATTGAGTTCTTTTCTACTTTCTCCCCCTTTTTTTTCTCTATTCCGGAGCGCAACCGTGGTATGTGCGGTGGCTCGTGTAGGTGATCGTTTTTTGTCTTCGTCGTAAATGTTGACAGCGCAGAGGAAGGTAAGCTTGGAGGTTGCTTGACCTGTAGTTAGTGGTAGTGTAGTGTGGTGCGGTGTGGTCTGCTGCAGAGAGTGGTTGCTGTCGAGGAGGGTCGTCACTCGTGGTGATGGTTTTGCGGTGGAGAGCAGAGCTTTGGCAGCGGGGAAAATGGAATGCAGAGTTCAAATTGGGGTCTCTGCAGAATTGGAATTTCGTTCGGTTTCCACTCGTGAGAAAATTGAGTCGTTCTGCGTGCAGCAAAGCTGTCGTGGATTGTGGAGGAAGTTGGTGGTTTGGGGGAAGTGCCGTGCAGAGTGGAAAGCGTCCCAAGCGAAGCTGGGTTTCGTCGAGGCGGGGCAGGCAGGTGAGGTACCAGGGCTGAGTGAACAATCTTTGCGAAGGGTCGGCCGATGATGTTTCGCTGTCACGTGCGACCTGGTCGAAGTCTCCTGGATGATGGCAAGGGCAGCCCCACATCATTGCTTATAAAATGCGGCCACACCAGCCACACACTCAATCCAATGGAAACATGGAGAAGTGGCTTGCTCAACCGTGGTGTTGGAAATTCACTTGTGACGGTTTGTTAGGGATTTGTTAGGGAATTTGCACAAGGCAAATCCAACACCACGTGAGTGCCCGCCCCGCCAGATCTCAAATTCGATTTCTCCTGTAGCGCATCTCCCAGTGCACCCAAACCCGCCACTTCCCAACTGGAAACCCACTTACGTCAACCTAAGCACTCTAAATCCGAAGCTGTCGGCGGCCATGGTCCAGCATTCACTGTTGGACTACTTCGACATGCCTGTCTAGAATTTCCTACTATGATTTTCAAGAAGACAAGACCGACGCTCTGTGCTGCCAATGCTTTCGTGACGTCGTCAACGGCGCCCTGGTCGCTGCGGGGTCACCCAGCACCAACCCGGTCATCAACCCGGTGCCGCCATACCAGAAGTCAACAATCACGCTCGTACGCATCGGTGCAGGATACAAGGCCAGCAGAAGATGGAAATGCGATTGATGCGCCGGAATGGCCGACATCTGCAAACCCCACTCCGTACGAGATCTTTGGCCTCCCAAATGACGCTCCCTACAGCAAGGCCCGCTTCTTCCAGTTGGTGAAGCTCTACCATCCCGACCTGCACCACAGCAACTCTGGTGACGGCATCCCCCACATCACAAAGCTTGATCGATATAGGCTAGTTATCGTCGCAAACGACATACTCAGCAACCCGCAGAAACGGCGCATGTACGATCTATACAATGTTGGATGGGACAAAGAGGCGGATCCTTCGAAGCGACACCGGGCGACCGATCGGTCATGGCGTCAGGAACCGGGAAACGCAAGCATGAATGCCACTTGGGAAGATTGGGAGCGGTGGTATCAGCAGCGGGACGGGAAGAAGCAAGAACCCGTCTTCCTCTCGAATGGTGGCTTTGCGGCAATTATCGTTATGTTCATCGTTGCGGGCACATGGACACAGGTGGTATGGGCTGGAAACCAATCCATACAGATGATGGATAAGCGAGACCAGCTCCATGCCAAAGTCGTAAAAGATATAAAAAGGCGAGGTGGTGATATGTCTGCTTTAAGTAGAGAAGGCAGAGTTGACCACTTTCTACGTCAGCGGGAGTATGAGAAATGGGGTTATGATCATCCTGGGCACCTCTTACCGGGTAGTAGCGTGCTTCCTAAACGGTAGATATGGCCGTCCGTCATTTTGTTGATGGCGTTCTGCTGGCGTACAGCGGAAGTTGCAGTATTACGAGTTGCTGTATTACTAGAGAGTCTTTAAACCTGGGATAATTGTCTTTGACGCAATTCCACCTCTGCAGTCTCGTTAAGTATAATTGCAAGCACTGCTTGCCAATTTCCATGGGTTTGTTTGTATCCATCTCGAACCATGCTTACAAGCTGATAGACTGCATCTCTCTTTGATCTTTTGCGATAATGCCGGCCAAAAACAGATGAGATGGCCAAAAACAAATAGAAAATAATAAAATCCAAAAAAATCAAAGGCAACAGATGCGCGATCCGAGGTTCGAACTCGGGTCCCTCGCTAACAAGAGAGAATTTCTTGGGAAGCGAGAATACTAACCACTATACTAACCGCGCCTTTGTAATTTGTTGAAGCAGGCTCCCGGAGCCGAGGCATATTACTGTGAGTGCGGATGAGGGCAGGAGCGGTGGAGAAAGATGTTTCTGTTGGTTGTTAATACTTGTCTCGATGTTACACTACCTACAGGAATCGGAGCCTGGTCTCATGGAAGGTTTGTTTGCTTCTGAGTTTGTTTTCGGGTAGAGGTAATGACCTAAATCATACGACTTCGGAGTCCTGGGCCATTCAACCCTTGAAGGGAACTCAAAGGCTCTGATTCTGATGACTTGGTCGTAAAATCTCATTGGCCGTTCTTGAATATCTTAGTAGATTAGTGGAAACGGAGCTGCGTCTATTTCTTAAAACGCCTGTGATACTACCGGCGTATATCTCATGATAAATTTCAGTTATAGAATAAAAGCTATAGTTTCGTATACTCCAAAATCTCCTCGAATTGCATGACGACGCCATCATACACTTTTTGTCGGGACTCTTCCTCATCTAGGTCCTCCGGTGCGCTACAGCCAATACATCGTTCCACCACCATCTTGTATAGCGGATTGATCAGTGACACCCTTTGTTCCAGGAGCCTTTAAGTTGTTATGGCGTCCTGCGTTGCAGCAACCTGAAACCTATTTCCAGGCAAGCCGGGCATGATATCCTGTGGCTCGCGCAGTTGGTGGATAGTGTTGAACCTAGTATTATCTCCAAGAGTAGGATACCGAGGGCAAAGAGGGCTGAGTTTGGGTTCACGGTTGTATAACTGGTTCCTTGGTTAGGGGTATGTACTGTTAAATCTTGGAGTGGCGGTAGTTCGGGGAAGCTCTTGAATAGGAGAGGGTTCTGGTATGATATTGACCCGCCACGGTTGAGAAACCAAACATCTCTGCTGGTCAAGGTCCCGGGAAGCCAGGGCGTCTTGCTCAACAGGAGGACACTCGAGGCAATAGCGAGTGATAATCGATATCTTGCTTCTAAACCTATTAATGGGGGTAGGCCTTTGTTTGCTGCCAACACACCATGCAGAGAGATCAAGGACCAGGAGTGACTGTCGAAGGTTGTGCCAAGAGCGTACACTTCAAAGTGGTGTTTGGTGTGTTGTGTGCCAACCAATCGGCCGTAGCAGGGTGGTCGTGATACGCGGCTCTTTTTAAGAGTGTTTCAGAAGTCGAAACAGGTCGTTGTGCTGATTTGAATGGCAGGTTGGTGACTGATGACGAAGGGGAGCGTGTGCAGAGTGTTATGTTGTTCGGTGAGAGTTGCTGTGGTACTAGCTTTGGCGTTCCAAGTCATGTAAGACGACTACTCCGGTTTGAAGTTGAGAAATGATACAAACTTGGATCGTTTAGTCTTGCTAGCAATGCTACTTGATAACGGCGATGGTAATGGAGTTGGTGTTGGTGCAGGTGATGGACTCGGAGATTGAGTGTTTGCTGAGAGCATCGTCTTGACCTTGACCTGATCCCAGAATATTTTGGTCGCCTGACCCTCAGCCATCTGGAAGGATATTGATATCGTGAATTCCCTCCCTTGAAGCACTTTCTCGTCATCCGAATCGTGTGTCGTATTCATTAGTTGCGGCACTAATTCAAGCGCTACGTCGTGTGGGTTGTTGCATCTAATTCTGGAGCAGAGAGCTCGATGTATGCTCGCAGATAGATCGCGTAAAATTCTGATGACCCTGCCACCGGACCTCTTCTTCCGGGTACGCTCAAGGCTGACGCTCTGTAAGGTAAACCCTTCAAGCTTACAGTGATTCCTCGACAAATTGTGTTGAGAGCGTCTTCGTACTCTTTTCTGTTCAATCGATGTAGGAACTTTTTGAACTCTCGAGACATCCATCTTTTGTCAACCCATTCAACCTGAGCGAATCGTCAGTAACCAACGGACGTATCATCAAATGATTGTTGAATGGCGATTTACCTCCCCATCACTTGTAATGTTAACCCTGAGCTGTGCAACGATGCTTTCAAGGGCCTCTCGGACTTCCAACACGTTCTGCTCAAACGGCTCATAGTAGTTCCACAGTCTTGTGCGGATCTTTTCGTCTGCTTGCTTGTCTTTACAGAGTGGCCCGAACGGATCTTGCATCATAGGTTCGACGTTCGCGTAGGGTAATACCATCACTTTACAGAAAGCGCTGAGCCAGAAGAACATCGAGGACTTGCTCCAGCTCAGCCATGAGTATAAAAACGGTGATTGTGAGTCACCGGATCTTGAAACTCTGGATTCTCAGCCCGGTAGCATGCAATGTGTTCAGTCTGGCTGCGGGAAGATGTACACAGACACCAGTGAAGTGTGTCGCTACCATCCTGGACCATTTGTCTTTAATGTGATGGAGACCGGTGAGAGCTGTATTTTCATTTGATAATTAGGAGAGCTCTCCACTAACACAGGTAGTATTGACTAGGAGAAACAATAAGCTTCTTGGACTGTTGTAGAGTAGTAGTAGCTAATGAGATAGATTTCCCTTCAGGCTGTCATGAAGGGACGCATAGCACCACAGAGCTGGCACCGCCCTGGCGGCAAGTTGACAGCTTTATAAGATTCAAAGACGCAGTCGGAAGGAATTTTTCTCTTCCGTTCCCGCTGGTCAAAAATTGGGAGGTAAGTCGTTCAAGTGAGTAGAGGGGTGAAGCAGACATTTTCTAACACTGTGGTTACACGTATATTTAGGGAATGGAGAGCATGATCTATCAAGCATTTCAGTATACGGAATTCATTGAGCCTCATGTTCGAAGCGGCCACTATAATCTAATTGGTCCTGATGGGGAGAAGATTATACCAAGCCGTTGGCATGAGGTAGTTCAACCTTGCATGCCAGTCACGATGCATATGCGGCCCTTGAAGGAGTTTTGCCAACGTTAGAAAAGAATTGAATGATGCCTGAATAGGCAAACCAGTTGATCAAATTCTCAGGTGGAATACAAACGGGTTTGTATACAGAAAAGTGTTTGGGGTTTCGTTGTGGGATATCCGTTGCTAGGATGATGATCAGGGGTAACAAAAGGGGGCCTTATAAACAAAAACCCCAGGAATATTAAATACCGCTTAGGTTTTTTCAAACGTAAGTATGATGCTGCACTGTGTTTACATTCCTTCCATGGGAGTGATTGGGCCATAGCATGACAGATATTTTCATCGAGATTAACCGTCTCCAAACCTTCCTCGACAGTCCAAAGAACCCCAAACCCCCTCATTTGAGGGAGGGTAGTGCCGACCTTCCCGTTGTTGATAGCCCTGAGCCCTGAGATAAGATCACAAATCAGATAGAATGCTGACCCTATCCCCTCAAAGGCGTCTTATATCTCAGTATACTAAATGGCGTCCTTCATAACCAGCTCCATGCTATACCGTCCGTGCCCTCTGGAACCGGTGGGGTAAAACATTTAAAAGTCCTATATTATAGCCTCAGGGTGTCAAGAGCGGGACTTAAAATAAAGAGAAATCAGGCGGGGAGACCAAGAGCGTAGGGAAGGAGATGTAACAATGACAAAGCTGTTTGGGGTATCCAATCTACATCTCTCAAACTATTGGAGCACTCTTACACCGACCAAGCTTCTTATCAACTCGGGTTCTTTGCTATCCGGAATGGGAGAGAGGCCTGCGGTGCACTGCTTGATAGCATTCGTACCGAGGATTTCTAATAGTGAATAATGATTGCAGAGGACGGTACGGCTTGTCTAATACAGGTCATGGGACTCACATGCCCATGACGACTTCGCTTGCTCTAAGACAACATACCATAAAACAGTCCGGATATTGCTGACTTGCGTGATAATCTGAAGGCCATCACCCTTATTTGTCTACTGTGAGCCATGGTCGATGCTCCTCACATAGATTGTGAGCAACATATATCAGGGAAACACATAGATAGACTATGCGCGTGACTACTACGAACAAACCAATGTCACGAAATCTCATCATTACTCAAAATCTTTAGATATAGCGGTACTTATCTGAAGGAAAGAAAAAAGAACAACCTAGAAAGTCAGGCAAAGTGACAGTAAACAACTCCACCGTCGTCACTATATAAACTAAAGCCAACCCCCATAACTCGAGTTGCTGGAAATAACCCTCAAAATTTGTAAAAGAGTGGGCAACAGTCATAGAAACCAATTAATCTCGTTCGTTTCCACGACACGCAACAGTTTTGAATCAACTCTTCTTCCGACTAACTCTGCAGATTTCTGTCGACAAATACAGAATTGTTACGTCCTTTTCCCAATCGACCAACAATAATTCAGTTGAAAGCGAACGAGAAGATCCAAATTAACCTTGCCCTTCACAACAGTCAATCCCACGATCGTCTCGTAAACGCCACCACCAAGCCCGGGCCCAGCCCGAGACTCCTCTAAACACCACCTCCTCCACCATCAACTTCATCATCATCTCAACCGACACCATCATATCATAAAACAAAAAGCACAATGTGTCTCCGCAAAATCTTCATCCACCACCGATGCGCTCACAAGATCACGGCGCTCGACGAGCACTGCGGTACGTACTTTTTTCTTTTCTCCTCTTTTCTCCTCTTTTCTCCTCTTTTTCTCTTTGCTATTATTTCCTTTCTTTTTTCATGTTCTATATTTCACCTCTTCACCTCTTCCCGTCACATCCCCCAAAAAAACTATCCTCCAAAACTTTCACCCCTTCCACCCCTGCCCACCCCTTCCATACTTGCCACGCTAGGTAGAATAAAAAAAATTGGTAGTGGAATTTTAACTGAAGTATAAAAAAAATTAACAGGCAACGTCGAATGTCAAGGCACCACGGTCGAGCGGGAGGTCATCTCCAACAAGTACCCTTGCGTCGTGAGGGGTTGCCCCTTTTGGGGACGGTTCAATTGATGAACAGAAACTGAAGGCTGATGGAGAGATTTTCGTCGGGGAGTGCTGTTGAATTGACTAGGGAATTTATTTTTCGTTTTCTCCGTGTAGGGTGGTTGGGGCAATAGAACATGCTATGTAAATCGGGCTGATGGTTTATGACAAGTGAAATGAGGATTGTGATGGGA